GCTGAGCGGGCCTATGATTTGGATCCCACTCTGGAGAATAGGACTCCGATGCACCGCTGCCATGCTGAGTACCAGCTCTGACTCCTTATGGAGGAGGATTTCTGGAAGCAGAAGGCGGCCTCGCTGGGTGGCCGAGGGCGAGCGGAATACTAGGTTCTTCCAGGGATTCTCAAGGCAGAAGCGTGCTAAGTCGTACATCCACAGTATTGAGGCTGATGGGTCATCCCTGACCCAAGAGTCTCAGATTCGGGAGTCGGTTGTCACCCACTTCCAGACCCTTTTCACCTCCGACGGAAGGGCCCTCGATGCCCCGATCGCTTCTTTCTTTCCCACCATTCCTCCTTTGGTCGACCTTGTCAGCCTCTGTGAGCTCCCAAGTAGGGAGAAGGTTAGGGATGTTGTCTTTGGGATTGATCCCAACAGCATTTCTGGCCCAGATGGGTTCTCTTCTCTCTTCTATCAAGTCTGCTGGGATATTATCGAGCTTGATGTTGAGGAGGCAATGTTGGATTTATTCTCCGATAACCTGATGCCGGATTCCTTCATGTCTACCTCTGTCGTCTTGATTCTCAAAAGACCCAATCTGAGTTCTTGGTCTGACTACAGGCCCATCAGCCTGTGTAACGTGACCAACAAGCTACTTTCAAAGATTCTTAACAACTGCTTTTCCCCCCTTCTCCCCTCCCTCATCTCTCCGAACCAGGGTGGTTTCGTCAAGGACCGAGTCATTAGTGATAACATACTTTTGGCCCAGGAGATGATCCACGATATCTCCCATGCGGATTAAAAACGGGCACCAAACATTGCGCTGAAGCTAGACATGGCTAAGGCGTATGATAGGGTGGAGTGGCGTTTCTTAGGGAGGCACTGGCTAGGATGGGATTTCCTGAGCGGTGGATCAATTTTTTTGAGACGTGTGAGGAGCACTGCTCGTTCTCGGTCCTGGTAATGGTAGTCCCACCGACTTCTTCCCCTCCTCTAGAGGCCTTAGACAGGGTGATCCCGTTTCCCTATCCCTTTTTGTTCTTGCGGTGGACTACCTCTCTCGCTGCCTTGACGGCTTCATCCGCGACTATCTACAGATGACTTGCAGCACCCGTGGCTATGGTCCTCTCATCTTGCACCTTTCTAATGCGGATGTCATCATCATCTTCACCCAGGCAGATGATGATGGGTTGATCGAGCTTATGCACCTTCTGGAGCACTATAACTCGGTTATCGGCCAGTTGATCAGTGTGCAGAAGAGCACCTTCACCTTCTCCTCCTCCAGCGCGGACAGGTGGGCTCAGCGAGTCCACGAGATTACTGGCTTTGCGCGCAACGACCTTCTCATTACTTACCTTGGTGCCCCTTTATATAAGGGTCACCTCACGAGAGCACTCTTTGCGGACATTAGAAAGAGGATGATCGACAGGATCTCTAATTGGTCGCTTAGACACCTTTCCTTCGAGGGTCGGCTTGCGCTGATCAAGAGCACCCTTATCTTCCTTCATTTACTTATGGTCCTCGACTTCTCTAGGTCTACTCTTGACGAGATTAACCAGATCATGGCTCGTTATTTCTGGAGTTACGAGGACGGTTCTGGGAGGGGGAGACGTACCCACTGGGTGAGTTGGGACTCTATTTGCCGCCCTTTTTCTGAGGGAGGCCTTGGCATCCGCCGCCTTAGGGATATTGTCACCGCCTTGTCATACAAGTTGTGGTGGCGCTTCAGGGAAGTAAAGTCGCTTTGAGCTCAGTACCATCACGGCAAGTAATGCCCTAGACGTGCCAACCACCCTTGTTAGGTAACGGTGGTGGCTCATGACAGTAGACAGTGGCGGCGTCTTACTAGAGTCGGTAGGCGCGCCCAGGATCACATCTTTTGGGTTTTGGGTGATGGAGAGGTTAGTTTTTGAGATAAGTGGTGGATAGGTGACAGGTCGTTGTCTAGAGATAGGCAAGTGTCGCATTCCCCCTTCCTACATGTGAGCGACCTTTGGACGGACGGGTCATGGGATAAGGGGAAGCTTGATAGGGAGTTGGGCCTTGGGATGGGTTTTAGCGAGCTTTTATTAGATCAGATCCAGCAGATTCCCATCTCGGGGGATGGTTCGGATGGAATGAGGTGGAGACTTGCATCATCGGGTGTGTTTTCTACTACCTCGTCTTGGGAGCAGATCAGGCTGAGAGATCGGCCTAATCTTCTCTTCGGAGCCATCTGGAGCGATCTTTTCACCCCTACCATTTCAATTTTTCTTTGGCGCCTCCTCTTATGCTAGATACTCGTGGACACTGTTTTACATGCGAGGGGAATCTCCTTTCCCTCCTGGTGCGTGTGTTGTTCTGAGACCGGACGACATGAGACCGAGACCTTTACCCACCTTTTACTAGAGAGTGAGATTATGAGGAGAGTGTGTGAGAACTTTGCTACTTGTATTCATATACCTTTACCCACCACAGATAGTTTCTTTGAGCTCCTGAGTTTTTTCTCACAGAGCACACACTTTAGAAACTGTGGGTTTCCTCATTCCATGTCTGATCCTTTGGTTCACCTGGACGGAAAGGAATAGTGCGAAGCATAGGGATATTACTTTTTTGCTTTCTCACATTGTTTTGCAGGTAGAGAGACATCTTTCACTCCTCACATCATTGGGCAGGCTCACTACCAGAGACTGGACAGGATGAACGCCACCACACCGTTTCATGGTGGCCCTCCTGCGCCTGTTCGGCATCTTCGTCCCAGAGCTGTCGTTTGGCTTTGACCTGACTCTCCTTGGTTCAAGCTGAACAGTGATGGGTCTTTTGATCACCAGACTGGAGTTGCCGGAGGAGGAGGTTTGATCCGGGACCACAGCGGTTCCCTTATCACCGCCTTCCACACGTCTCTTCAGGCCTCCTCGAGCTACGACGCAGAGGTTCAGGCACTACAGATTGGCCTTCAGATTGCTGCCCACCTCTCTAGTCATATTTGGGTTGAGCTGGACGCTGCGTCTAGGGGTGTTCATCAGTCGGTTCGGTCGACCGAACCGACCGAACCATGAAAACTGAAAAAACCGACTCTAAAATTTTCAAAAACCGAACCGACCGAAATGAGGACCCAAAACCGAATTTTAGCCGAACCGAATTCTTCGATCGGTTCGGTCGGTTAACCGAACTTGCACAACGATTTCAAACTTGCGGCAAAAAAAAAAAAACTTGAAGCAGACAATACTTGTCTTCTTCGGTCCTTATCTGTCATTAATTTGGCATCTCGCAAATCAACTATTATGTTAAATAAAAAAATGTAAAGTAACATTTGTGTAAAAAAAAAATAGTAGAGCTGTGAAATTAAGCTATTGAATTGAGCAACCACAATCAATTGAATTGATTTATTTGTAAATGATTGTTCTGAACAATCAACACCACAACCACCTTCAGTTTTAGCACAAAGCGACAACCGACCGGCATCAAGTAATTCCTTTGATAAAATACCAGACGCAAGCTCTTGGATACGTGGACGACAACCACTGAGAAGATGAGCGAAGAGAGGGCTGAGAGCATAACAGAGAGAAGATTTGGGGTTTGGGGATGATTTGAAGACGAGATTGGCGGCGGAGCGGAGATGAAAATTTTGGGATGTTTTTTAGGGTCGAGCTGAGGGCTATTGGTAAAACATATATCTCAGACATTGGTAAAATATTGTATTATAATATATATATATATATATATAATATATTTTGTTCGGTCGGTTCGGTTATTTCAGATATTTGGTGTCCGAAAACCAACATCGACCGAACTAACCGAAAAAATATAGACTTAAAACCGAAAACCGACCGAGTCGGATAAAATCCGAACCGAAATTTTCAGTTCGGTCGGTTTTTTCGGTTTTAGTCGAACTATGCACACCCTTATCTGTGGCTGTCGTCACCATCCTGACCTCGGGCCACCAAGGATCGTGGCAGATTCAGCACCCGCTTATACGCGTTAGAGCTCTTTAGCGGTCTATCCATCACAGGATCACGCACATTTTCCGAGAGGAGAACAGACCTGCGGACTACCTTGCCAGCCTTGGCGCCTCCACACCTGACCTACACACGTTTCAGACCGACACTGCTCCACTCCACCTTCGCACGCTGGTACGGATGGACCAGCTTGGATATCAATCTTTCCGCTTTTAGTAGATTAGATTTGGTTCTTATTAGATCATACATTTTTTCCAGGCACCTGTTAGCCCGATGACAGACCTTGTATTATTTCTTTTTTCTGTTTTCTTGTTTCTGTTTTGACTGTGAGAATATGATCACTGTAGTTGTTTGATTTTTTGGGCCCGTTTTGGGGTCTTGATCTATGTACAGGTTGGGGATCCAGCCCAATCCCCCGCCCTTCGGGGCATTGTTTTGAAAAAAAAAACCCTAGAAACTACTAACCTAGCACAATCATACAACTAACTTAGCACAATCATAAAAAAAAAAAAAATGCTCTCACTTCTCTCTAGCTTTCTCTCTCTACCCTCACCCCTACCCTCACCCATTCCCCTCCTCCCGCCTCCTCGCCGTCCGTCCTTCGCCACCACCTAGCCTCCCCCCGCCGGTGGTCACCGCCGGCGACCACCGGCGGCCCTTCTGGCCGCCGGGCACCCTCCCCCATACCGCTTACCTCCTGCCCGTTTTTTCCTTTTCTTTTCAGCTTTTTCCTTTGCCATTTTTAGTCATTGAGCCCCCCCTTCCCGGTCAGCTATGACGTCGCCGGCTCAAACCTTGGACATCAGACAAGCTCCAACCTCCGCTCATGCCTCAGAGTTGGAGAAATTCATCTCACAACCAGAAATTCAAAAGGTTCTCTCGGAGTTTCTCTCAAAATCCAAGAACTTTAATGAAGGAAAACAATCCTCAGAGGTCGGAGAAGATCAAATCGGGTCTGTAGCGCCGGAAAATATCGGTTCAGAAGCCGCTGATATCAGTTTGCCGCTTGTCTTTGGTCTAAATGGCTCGTTGCCTGTCGGAGACGACGATAGCCGCAACCTCTCAGTCATCGTGGATCCCACGCGCCAACAAGTAGGGTTAGGCAGCAGGACCAATCCAGAGCTTAGGGGAAAATCTTCGGGCCATAAAGCTAACCCCTCTATTGGGTCCATTCAAGGTCTGTTTTCTCGGCCCAGCTTTTCTCATCCGGACCCGCAACCCACTTCCCAGCCTGACATACATTCTCAACCCACCAACACTTGTCAACC